ATTAGTGTATTCTAGAATAGGATAGAAATCTACGTAATAAATACTAGGATTTGTATTTTCTCCTATATAATGCATCTTCCGCTGTGCTATTCAGACACGGTTTATTCAAATGTCTCTTAGTCTCTCGTATTTCAACAATATTGAAAGTCCAACGGCAAACATAAGCAGAAATAACTACAGAGATGCACACATTACCTTTCAATGATCAGGGAGCGAATATTGGCAACAGCTTCATCAGAAATCTAAGAAAGGAAACTCCAAGTGTTAAAAATAGAAAGATCAACCACAAACAAAATTATTGGATTGATAGAAAGACACTCAATAAATATAAATGCCAACCACATGTGCAAACCCGCTTGTAAAAATCAAAATTGTAATCTCATGTGGAAAGTAACAGGAAATTAGTGGACAAATTTAACAGGCCAAGATGCATGACAAAGTTGTTATGGAAAAACAGTGTTAAACCCGGTAAATAGCTATACAATATAAGGAGGATATATTTTAAGATGACATGGTCTGCTGCACAAAGAGTAGTTCACAACATTTCACCATATTCATGAAACCAAAGTGATACCTACATGGAGTCCATCAGTTCTGATGTATGTTATCAAACCCACTGATATACCATTAGGTAGTTCAACTCCCTCGTAGAGTTTCTGAGATAGCTGCATTCATAATTCAATAGAGATTAATGATGAAATTTCTAGAAAATCTAAAATGTAAACATAATAATTAAATCATAATTCCACATGAAAAACAGATATTGTTCATTACAGCCATGGTTTTGTGTAGGGAAATATGAATATGATAGAAAGAAATTAAAATCAGTACCATCATTGTTTTACTTGCTGAGAAATTCAATTTGTTTGCAGCATCTTGCTGAAGTGTTGATGTTCTATAAGGTGTGGGAGGATTTTTTAGAAATTTGCCTCTTTTCATGCTAATAACCCGAAACTCAGCAGAGTTTATTTTGCTTTCGATATCCCTTGCCTCCTCACCAGAAGTAATTGAAAATTGATTCAACTTGTTTGAATCAAAATGGGTCAGGTGAGCAAGAAATGTTAAGTCCTTGTTTAATCTACGCTCTTCCATACTAAACGTGGCCTCCATAGTCCAATACTCCTTGGGCTTAAATTGATCGATTTCCATTTCTCTATCACATATAAGAGAAAGTGCAGCAGATTGAACTCTTCCTGCTGATTTGCAACCTGGTAACTTCTTCCATAGTAATGGTGAAATGTTAAACCCGATCAAATAATCAAGAGCCCTCCGTGCAAGGTAAGCGTGAACCAAATTCACATCAATCTCTCGTGGAGCTTGTAAAGCACTTTTTATAGCTTGCTCAGTTATTTCATGAAAGACAACTCTAGCCAGAAAAATATTATCGTGCAGAGCTCCCTGTTGTTGTAACATCTCAATTATGTGCCATGCAATTGCCTCTCCCTCACGATCAGGATCTGATGCAAGGATAAGATTTTCTGCTCTGTGAAACAACATAAAATGAATTAAACTAATGTATACGTGGTCAGAAACTTGTGTATAAGAGCATGGAATTGAAACAATGCATTGCAATTAATTGTAATTAATATGGTTCACTAGAATAACATAACAGCATACTGAACACCAAACATTACTAGTGAACCCACAAAATCATCTTAATCTACCCAACCAATGCTAGTGGAAAACTAGGGTAAGTTGATGTGAGAATATACCCGTTCAATGCAATATTGATGCTCGTCAGGTGAGCTGAGGCAGATGGTGGAACTTCCCACACCATACTAAAATCATTGTCAGGTCGCACAGATCCAGACCTCGAAGCCAAGTCTCTTACATGACCATAGCTTGGCAAGACTACATACTTATCACCAAGGTATCTCTGAATAACTTTTGCCTTCGTGACAGACTCAACAACCATGACAGACTTCCCCACAGGTGGATACAGTGGTTTTTCCGTAAATTTCCCTAGCGGCTTCTCTAGATCAACCTGGCTAGAGATGACTTCCTTCTTCTTATTCGACCTTGTAGAAGCAGAATCATCCTTTATTTCTTTTGAAGTGCTACTGGATGAACTCTCCTAAACAACCCCATGTTAGTATCAATGGTTAAAACAGCACCAATTACTAAAGCAACGTTACAAATTGTGAACCAGTTTAAAATAGCTTATTTCCCTGGAACAGAGGGTCAAGACCAAAAAAATTGCGGGCCTGCAGTCCCAACATCGACCATAAAGGCTATGTTTGGATTGACAAATGGGATGAAATGAAATCAAATGAAATTTAATCATTAAAAAGATACCTTATTTGAATTCTTTAAAACAGGATATGATGGAACAAACCTCGTCCCATTCCATCCAACGCCTAGTTTTTTCTACCCCTCTAGTATGGGGAAAAATAAAATTGAGCATCTATTGTTCTCCATTTTTTTACCATTAAAATTTCCAAACAATAATAACACAAGTTTATTCCATGAATTTTTTCCAAAACATGTAATCACTACAACAGCAATAGAGCCACAATATTTTTTCCAATTTCAATGATTGTATAATAACTACAACAACTAAGCAACCACAATTTAAAACCTAGTACTAGTATTTCATATAGTTTTCTAGTGTCTGACACAAGTCAGCGTGACTTGTCCAACCCTGACACATGCATATTCAATCACTTTTATTTTCTTAAATCATTATAGTGTCTACTAGTCAGTAACGGATTAACTAATTACCACGTGTATCTACGTGTCAATGTCAATGCCATCATTCATGTGTTTGTACCTTTAAATTAGTCTTCTTCCCTTTAGAAGATGACTTTCTAGAAACCTTTTCAACAACCACCTGCGACGAATTGGTTGCAGCAGAAGCCTTAACATCTTTCTTCTTACTCTGCACCAGCTTCTTCTTCTTAGCAGCATTAATTTTTAAATCCTGTTTATCACTCTTAGACTCTTCACTCAAACCAGTTTTCCCTAAATCCACATTTTCAATTTCTTTAGCAACAGCTTTCTTAGAACTCACAGCCTTATCCTTATCCTTACCACGAACCGCGACAGCTTTAACAGTGACAACTTTTTTCCGTTTACTCTTCTCCGTCGCCACAGACGAAATCAATAAACTCCTCCCAACGCCGTTCCCCGGAAACTGAAAACCGAAACCGCTAACCGACGTAACGGACTTCAAAGTAGTGAAATTAGAGACACCAAATGAACGAAATGGAAAACGGTTACGGCGTTGGACGGGATTGTTGGTTACATTCACGTGCGGCGGGATTAGCGGATAGTGAAACGACCTGATATGAAACTGCGAGAGAGATTAAAGCGTGATTATGTTAATGATGAAGCGATTAAATTGAGAAAATGAAAATTAAGTAGAGAGAGAATTAGAGTGAACCATGAGGTGGCGAAGAGAGGGAGAAGGAGTGGTGGTGGTGGTGGAGAAGAAGGAGAAGCTGCGTTGGAATTGAATCATCGTCTTGAGAGATCCTTCATATCAATTTCAATTATCTGTTTCAAAGCTTTTTGGTGCGAAAGAGGGTTTAAGCACTGCCCGTAAATCCCAACATACCTGTTGAATAGGATAAGGGTTGTAAGAGGTTTTAACTTGTCACCCAACTTCGACCTACACCCCCCAAAGTCAATGAATGTAATATTTTTGTTCAAGTTTTTCATCATTTTCATAATTCACTCTTATAAATAGGAGTAGTAAAACGGATTCGGTCTGTTGGACATGTCCGTTTTACTCGCACTTTAAGGTAGGATGGATCAAGAATTTAGGCTTTCATTCTTTAATGTGACCGTCCCGTCCCGTCCAATTTTTTTCGCGGGCATGATTATTAGCATAAAATTTTACATTTTTAGGCCTAAAAGGTGCAGTGCCTGCGGGTTTTCCCCGTCCCGCACTCATTTTTTACGGGACGGGCCTAGATTTTAGGTCCTCATCCTCAACTATGTGTGTCCCACCCCGCCCTATTTTTTCGCGAGCTTTTGCGGGACGGGCCTAAAAGGGGCGGGCATGTCCGTTTGCCATCCCTACTTATAAAATTGAAATTTCATATTTTAGCGTGATATCGACAATTTTAATAAGCTATTGGAAATTCTGAAAATTCCTGGTTTTTTTAATCAAATAGTATAGGAACTTTCAAAATTTTCGATAGTTTAAAAATTCATCATAGTTTTCGATATTGACTTAAATACTTGGAAATCAGCCATTTGTTCACTAATTTTTATCATTTTATCATTTGCATTGAGGATTGGGGAAAAGGATAAGACCATTATCGGCATGATCATTAATAAAGCGGTTGTTCAGGCTAGAGCTAATGCGGCAAAGACTTCCACCTACGAGCTAGACGAGTAGCTCCAACCGATTCTCAGCGGAAACGATTGGCTGAGCAGTCCCAAACCCAGTTCCGCGCACCTCGACGCATAATAGGTAGAGTTTATAAGGTACATGTTGTTGATCAAGTACTTGTTGCTCAGGAGATTCATGTTGTTAAGGTTGTTGATAAGGAAGTTCTTGTGCCAATTGTTGATGACGGTGTTCTTGTTGTTGAGGAGGTTCATGTGTCGGTTACAGATGCATAAGTTGATGATGAGGTGACTCTCATACTTCCTATTATCGATGATGATGCTCCTACTGATACAGACGTTGTGGCTTGTGCTTTTACAAAGGCATATGTTCACACTGGTGGAGCGTTCCCGGGAGGACCCAGTGACCGATCAATGCTCATGGAGTATGCTGACTGTGTCACATACAAATTATGGCAGAGAAAGGTATGTATATCTTGTGTTTAACTTCAAATTATTTATTATTGTTCGATCTGACAATTTTTTAACTTTATTTTTTACAGGACTGGCCCCCGCTGAAGGTGACATCACTACTACAAAACATACATATGGTAAATATATATTACCGTGATCATCTATTCACCGTGATAATATCTTTTTATGCGTAATAGTTTATTTTATTTCATCACGGTTCTGAAACTTAGTCGTGGTCATTGAAGTTGAGTGACAAACTTTGAATCCCAACAACAATATTTTTCCTTTTTATGGTAAAAGTAAGCGCGCGTCCCTTAATATTTTTTTATTTAAAAATTGAAAGTTTTACAATTACGGCTTTCTTAATAAACTGTAATTATAAGTTTCTTATATCAATATAGATGATTTTCTCAACCATTGTGAAATTGTTTCCCACAAAATTATACTACCTTCGTTCCTTTATATAAGAGACAACTCACTTTTTAGATTCATTGAATAACCAATGTATTTGGTCTATTTATAGACTAGATACATTAATTTATTCAATGAATCTAAAAAGTGAATTGTCTCTTATATAAAGGGACGGAGGTAGTAACATATAAGGTACTTTATTTCGTTCATAACACAAATGGGTTCCCTAGAGAACGATACGACAGTGTTGTACCCCAAAATTTTCCCTCTCACTTATCAAGATTTTTCTCACAAGACTTCTTGGACTCAAGACAAGATTAGGGTTTGGTCAGCTTAAGACATCTCATCTTGCACTGGTAACCCAAAATTAGGGTTTGAGTTTGCACAAGGATTTTTGGACCATCAATGCTTCATTTGACTTTCATACATCATCTTGGACCCCTAGGACTGCTCATGTTAAGTTTCAAGCCTTGAATCACATTTTTGATCAGTCAATTGGACAATCGACCTAAAAATCAACTGTATTGGGAAAAATTCAACCATGGTCAATTTACAGTCAAACTTCATAATTTTTTATCCACAACAACATTTTAGACTCATATGTACCATTTGATCAAGTTTGGATCACAACTTCTCAAGAAATTTGATCAAATCATCAAAAGGGCAAAATGGTCAAAGTTAGGGTTTTGACTGAGAAAGGGCAATTTCTGATTTTTAACCTAGCCAATGACCAATTGGGTTCAAACATGATTTCAAGGGTTCAATGGCATCATCTTGACCTAATTACATAGTTCAAAAGATCTCAAGTTTATTGGATTGACAGATGAATTTTGCAGTCAACTGATCAAAAGTCAACTGTGCACTAAAAAGTCAAACTTTGACTTTTTGGTCAAAATTAAGTGCCAAGGATCATAGTTCATCAAGATATGTCAAAATATGAAACTTGTTCACCAAGAAAACCAATTTTGAAAATTAGGGTTTTGAATTTGAAAATTTTCATAACTTAGAATTTTTCTAAGTATGAAAATTTTCTTATTTTTCCCCAACTTTCCACCACTTTTTCACCATGATGCAATTTGATTCAAAGAAAACTTCCAACATGAAAGTTGTAGTCCTCCATGAAATCTATAACTTTTCTTCACAAACGTTTCCTAAAAGATGCTTGGATCTCAAGTTATGAATTTGTGAACATAGGTTCATGAACTAAATAACTTAGTGAAATTTTGCCCTAATTTAGACAGGTTTTGGACCCAACTTCATGGATATTTTTCACCTAGTTCCAAGGGGTATCTAAAATTTAATTTCAAAGATGGATTATAAAGCACATTGCAAGCTTTCTAAAATACCCAAGAACTATCCAAGATTATTTTTGGTTAGGGAGAATCGAAGAGGAGAAGTTGGCATTTTATCACTTTTGTTCAAGCCATTTTTACATGAGATCAAGTTGCAAATCCAACCCATGTTGTTTGAATCTTGCTTTACAGGTCCTAAACTCATTCTACACTCCATAATTAAATGCAAACTCAGAAGATAAAGGCTTTATCTTTGCTTTTAAGGCTTTGTACATGATACATTTCCATTTTTGGCCAAAAGTGCACAATGTCATTTTCATAAAGGTGAGCTTTTGCAATTTTATAAATCTTGAGCCTTGGACCCATCCCTTTGATGCAAACAATTTCCACAGGTCTCAAGTAATGTATAACAACTCTTATCAGCCCTTGAGGTAGCCAGTACAAGCATGTTGCATTTGTCATTTCACTTTACTTAAAATACAAGAAAAGTTGCAAAAGGTGCTAGAACTTGTACAGCTAGTAAGGATTGACCTTTGTGTCATTTCTATACAAATATACCAAGTCATTACAATGTTGAACACAATTGCTTAATCACTGAAACACTCTCAAATTCAAAAACTCCATTTTTCTGCCAAAACATAGCAGTTCTGCAAAATCATAGCCCTCTCATTTTTGGCTCGTGCGTTTTGCATTTCAACACTTGAAACACTTCATATACATCATAACAAAGTAGTCCAAGCATTCATCCTGCATCTGTAAGCCCTGTTTCAGCCATTTCCATTTTCAAACTTGGAGCTTGCAGTTTGACTTCTACAAAGAGTTCTAGCCATCCACAAAGCAAACTAGGCATTGGAATAGCTTGAAGGAAGTTCAAGGAAGCTCACACGATCCTCAGGCCTCCATCAAAGTCCCTACATTGCTCTATCCAAATCCAACTGAAGGAGGTATTTTTCAAAACTCTATCTCTCTGAATAGGCATCCTCAAGCCACGATTTGTGAAGAAAAAATGTAGCCCTTATCATGGTGAAGATGTACATATGCATACTTTTCATTTATATTAACTGAGCTAAGAGAATTTGAAGCTTGAAGTTGCTGAAATTTTTAGGTCACGAATTAGGGCCATTAAAATTCTCTCTGATCTTTGAGAGTTAGGTCACAAAATTGATATGGTTGGAATCGTGAGTTCAAATACCACAAGTTTCATGTTATAAGTTTTTGTTTTTGTGCAAGCATTTGAAAGTTACAGGTTTGAACATAATACGCGCGCAGAAGAGAAGCTGGAGGACATGGATGATGGTTCTGGGCCTTTGGCGCCTTGGGCCTGTTGTTTCTGATTTTCACACCCCCTGGATTACTTTTGCACCCCCCTGACTATTTTCTTATATTTTTGCATTTTCTTGCATATTTTTATATTTATTACTTGCATTTATTTTTTCTAATGATAAAAAATATCCAAAAATAATTTATTTATTTCCACACTTTTATTTTATTTATTTATTTATTTTCTCACATAAAAATAGTTTATTTTGACAAATAGTTTTTATTTTCTTAAATAACTTGTAAATATATTTAAAAATACTCAATATTTTTATTATATTATTTATACTCATAAAACACTTATTTTCTATACATATTTAATTTTTAATATTTACACATAATATTATTTATTATTTTCTTGTACAAAAATGGATAAAATATTAATATAGAACATATATTTTCTTTAATAAAAAAACTAGGGTTTCCCCCTTTCAAAAATAATAATATTATTTTTCCTTATTTTTTAGGGTTAGTTAATTTATTTTCTCATACAAAAATCAAATACAAAACATTTTTTTCATAAATACATTTGCATTGCATTTTAATACTTGTTTATTTATTTAATGCGCACAATATTCGATTGGGTTGTAATAGTATTTTTAGGTTTATATTTGTGCAATATCCCCATTTAAAAATTTGTATCCCCCCTCCCATAATAATTGTTGTAATAAATTAGTTTACATTTACGCAA